AAATTATGATGGTTGAAAACGGATTTGAATCAAAGGATACTCTAATCGAACCTGGGAAAATTCTGACTTTGGCTGCCCAATAATTTAACACGCTTTTATTGCCAAACATACAGGTGAGGTTGTATTTATGCTTGCTTTTCTGAAAATGACAAACAGAAATTATCTGAAAAAAACCTCCAACAACTCCTAAGTGGGTAACACCGAGAGCTCTGCTCCGTGTTTTGTGCTAACTCAGTAAGGTCATAGATGTATCTAAGTGTTTTGCAACCTCAGCCACTTCGAAGATGGGTGGACTTCAACTCCCAGGATTCCCCGGTAAAATTCTGGGAGCTGAACTCCACAAGTGTGAAACTTGCCAAGGGTGAGGAATACCACCTAAGGCAATTGGGGAACTTGGATGAAAGTGCATGAGATGGCTGTGGGATCTGCAGCTCCATCCTCATTGATCGAGTAACCCATCGCATTGCTAGGTTTCCCGGAACTGACCTCTGACCTCCATATTCATTGCCCCTTGGCCCTCTCTTTGACCTTCGTGGATCACAGAAACCCCTTCTAATCATTGACCCCTTTGGATGAAACCTGTGTCCCTGGCATTCCCAAGACCTGTGCATATAGTTAAGAAGTCAATCCTTAAGAAAGTCTGCAGTCTAATGTGATTGGATCGGTTGACCAATTGGGAGGGGGGGAAAAAAACGACCATAATTGGTAGGATGGGTGTGATCGGATTCAGAGGTATCCAGTCACGTGTTTGAGATGCGATTCACTTTTCTTTGGCCTGTTCAATAAATTCCTAATTCTTTTCCTCTATAGAACTCCTCCTGTTAAGAAACACGGGAAAAAGGGCAAATAATGCATGTCTCAAGAGAACTTCTCATTTCTGTTTCAGCCTCCCTCCTTCAAAAGTTTTGGCACACAATTGGCACTGGATGAGTGGCTGCACAGTTAATGACAATTATGGAATTACTTAGAGGGTCAGGGCTACAGGCTGTTTAAAATCATTTAAGCGGTCTTTTCAATTAAATGAAAAACTCACCCCTCACTGTTGAGCAGCGTATTTCTCTAAATACGGGGGCTTCTCAGCTTCAGCAAATGTCAGAGGTGTGGAGTTCAACTCCCAGAATTCCCCAGCCAGCACACCTGGGATGTCTGAGAATTGAAGTCTACCATTTGTAATGTTGCTGAGGTTGAAAAAAACGGCTCACATATCATTGGGGGATTTTAAATAGCTTTTTAAAAAAGTTGTAATAATCTATTTAAGTAAATAAGTCAGAGGTGTCTGCAGGGAAGGAATTAAGACTCAATCATGGCAACTACAACCATCTTATCATTTTCACCTCCTCCCAGCAGACAGTATAATTAATTATTTCAGTACAATAAAGACTGCTTTTTCCTTTATGTTTAATGCTGCTGAACACTGCCAGACTCTGCAGGTTGCACCAGATGGCAGATCTGGAACAATAAATAAATAAGTTAAAAATTTAAACCAAGTTGCACAAAAGGTACGTTTTGCATAAGATTACAGAATGAAATTCTGTTTGGCACCTAAAGAAATCTTCTGGATTGGTGATCTCTCCAATCCTCTACTCAAAATTTTTTTTAAATGTAGGGGAAAGTGGCCTTGGAAAATCTTGCCACGTTCCCCCAGAGTTTTTTTTACTTGGGAAAAGCACAAAATAGTATCTGGAAATATTCAGGATTCAATGATTTTGTTGTTGTTGTTGTTGTTAAAAAAAAGATATTGTTTGACATGCATTATGGGTCAGTGTTAACTTATTTCCCCAACACATACTGTAAGCCAGGGGTGTCCAACCTTGGCCACTTTAAGACTTGTGGACTTCAACTCCCAGAATTTCCCAGCCAGCCATGAATGGGGAATTCTGGGAGTTGAAATCCACAGATCTTAAAGTGGCCAAAATTGGACACTCTTGCTGTAAATCCTCTCCTGTTGGTTTAGTCTGAATCTTTAACAGGATTAAGTAGCCAAAATTTGAGAATCCAAACAAGTGACATTCCATGGGGACAAAGGTCTGTCCAGATTAGTTGCTCAATGTAAGAAGAGCCCCCACGTTTCTCAAAAGAGTTTTGACCCATAACTCTGGTCTCCCTGTTGAAGAGTTTGAAAGGTCCCTGAGCTTTAACCAAAACTTCTAAATTCTTGGGCATCTATTACCGATCACAAGATGGATTGTCATTCACAGTTAAGTCAATCATAAGGTGCTTATATACCCTTTTTTCTTTTTTTTTCTCCAATTCGCACAAAGAATGGTCAGGAATTGTTGCGGTGAATGGCAGGGCCGGAACGAGAGAAGATTCGGGGTTTTGGCAGTGGCGTTAGGATCATTATCTGGCTGCCCCTTGACAACAGGTGATTCAATCGACATTCCTTAGCAAAAGAAAAAAAAAAACATCCCTCAGCCCCCATCCCACCCCAAACAACCACAAAAAACGACAACGTAAAACCCTGTATAACAAATATGTAGTTTTCCCTGAGTAAAACCCACAAGTGCTCTACGCGTCCATATTGCACTAGAGAGAAATGAACGACATGTGCAAAAAAAAGCAACGAAGACGGAAGCTCACGAATACACGGATTATTTTGTGATGGCCTCACGCTTTATGGAATGTCGGAAACACAAAATCACTTCCTTCCTTTCACCTACGACGTAACGAAAAAAAAGAACCCACCACCCACGCGCCTCTGCTATGGCACATCCAATGAGATCAAATGCTTTTCCCAAAGACAAGTAGACAAATTCCATCCACAAAAATAATACAAAGTTGGTTTGTTTTTTGTTTTTCTTTTTTAGAAAAATTACATTGCTTTCTTTCATTTTTTTTTTCACATTACAAAATCTTTTTTGTTTGTTTCTACCTTTACACAAATCACATTTTATTGCAGGAATAGTTCAAGTGCCACCAAATATTTATAGAAGGGTTAAAAAAATAGAAGTCTCTCTAAGTGGTCCAGACAAGGCTTTATATAGAATATTTTTTCCACCTTCTATTTTTGACTTACATATCTTCAACACATTTTCTTTATTCCATGGACACTTAATGGCCTAACAACAACCACGCACACCTACACCCCACATGTTCAAGAGTACACACACATTCAGACCTTGATAACCTCGTGATAATGAAAAGCTCCCTAAAAAGACAACCAGATTTGAAAGAATGTCACATATCATGTCAGTTCATAATTTTAAACAATATAAACACGACAGACAGAACTGTGCCATCAAGGTCCAGGACTACCGGCATTCTTTTAAATTGGTGCAATAGGTCCACCCAAAAAGAGGATGGGAGGATGAAAACCCAAATTAATTTTAACTGCCAGTTCACTTGGAGTTCACCTGCAGGTATATCGTGAAGCCTTGATATGCTCCCACCACAGAGCATGCTACACTTTATATAGCTGAATCCCACCTGGAGTTTGTTATATCCAACAAGTATATTAGGCTACCGACGTTAAAACTTATTCCTGGATTTTCTGTTTTTGCTGATGGGTTCCCCCTCTGATCTGATATTCAGAGCAGATACCGCTGATTACAGACTCTCTCACCATCTTTCATAAGAGGTTGTCAGCACCGTTTTATCATTATCAAAATGTAATTTGCAATTAACTAAAAGGAGATGATCAGAACAGAGCAAGCCATGGTATTCCCTGTGGTCCTTCCCTAGAGAAACAGGGAAGGAAGAGGGTTGATGATTTTGAACTTTGGGGCTGAGTAAGACTCCCGAGAAGAGCATCCACATCTTAAGAAATGTTTTTTTTTTTAAAATGGATCATCCAACAAGTCAGTCCAGGATTCTCACTCATGGCACAAACAACCAAGTTCAAATTATCCTGTTTTGGATACTTTATTTGAAGAGTTAACTCCCTGGAAAAAGTTCTTGTACTGGGAAGGTGGGAAGGAAAGAGAAGAAGAGGATGATCACCAGAAGGTGGTGGGATTCAGTTAAGTGGTGATGGGGGTGCTGCTGGAAGACCCCAGGGACCAAGCGAAGGACGGACGGTCATGGCTGCTAACAATCAACAACTGGTGGCATATAATCAATCAACCAATTTAAGGACGCAAAGTCCTATAGTGCTGGGAAAGACAGAAGAAAAGAGAATAGGATGACCACCCTCCAGCCACAATGTTGTAACTCGGGTTGAAAGACCTGAAGGACCAGATGCAGAAAATCTATCTAGAAAGTCACTAAGGAGTTGACACAGACGTGATGGCACTTGATCAATCACCTGCCACAAGGAAGACAATGCTCCCTGTCAGAACCCTGGAAATTTACAAGCAACCAGAAGCTCCTACTATTAGCACTTAAATGTAAATAATGAGCCATAAATAATGCTGATCTCCAAACCAAAACTCATTGTTTTTCTTTCATAAACATGACAGAACATGAACAAACTCTGATATGGTTTATGTACACACATGATCCTACAGAATGCTTGATGAAGAAGCAAAGGATGAAAATATTCTTCTCAAACGTTTTAGCTGCCTAGTAAAATGGTCTCTAGGTCAAGGATAAAGAGTTCGAGACAAGAAGACACATCCCTACATACACTTTATATTCAGATCATTGGGGTGCCAAAGGTTGTTATCCTTTTAACTTAGTTTTTAAAGAAGAGTAGCTAGCAAGTCTGGCTGACATTACTAGTGTCGGTGAATAAACATCTCAATCCACTTCCATTCTTGATGGGTCTTTTACAGCTAAAAAGACAACTGGAATCAGAACTGAAAATGACTCTCAGAACAATTACAGTTCATTAATGGTCAATAAATTAAAAATACCTAAGCTGCTCTGATAAACGTTTTCACTGCTAATACAGATTGTACTTCAGGATGCAGAGAAGTGAAATACACAAGAACGAAAGACTATGCAATTGGTTTATTTAAATATGGGTGATACAACAACTCAACCCAAGAGCCTTGGGTAAGTCTTATGTGGCAGGAGATGCCGCTGAAGTCAATGGGAGATCAAAGGGCATCGGATTGGTCGCTGGCTCTAAACACAACCTTAAAGACCAGGAATCCAACTGGAACTTGTGGTCGTTTTGAGGGAACTTTCTCCAATATTTCAAAGTGGTCCAATGAGCAAATGGAATGTCAACAGGAGAAGTGGAGTCCAACTTGTGTCACCACTTTTGGATCAGATTTTGCATTTGAATAGGTGGATTTCATTGGCCATGATATAAATAATTCTTAATATAGAGCTTCCTGCTCATGATTCCAGGTGCGGGTGGCTAAAGTGTAGCATGTGGTAGATAGAGCATGAATTCAGATTGCTTTAGATTTCAAAAGGCGGAGTGACCAAGAAACCAAGATGGCAACTGCTGGATCCAAGCTCCCGACGTGTTCGACCACCTCCCATGGCAGCTTCTGTTTGGAACAGATTGCAAAGCAAGGGGGGCAAGTAGCACCCCTTGGTTTACAAAGGAAGTAGTAACACGCAAGAGCAGGTTTTTTAAACAAGCCTCCAGCTGTGTCACAATTCAGCGAATAGTCGGGGGTGTCTGTGCACTGAATACAAGATTTAAGTCCATGGACCCTATCCACGAGAATAAAAAAAATGTATGTACCCTACCTGTCTTAATTTGTTGTATTTTTTTCTCTCTCCAAACACACACACACACACACACATAATTACACAAACACACACAAAATGTAAACAAAAGTATTAGGACCAATATTTCCAAAACACAACTGTCTAAATTTGGTTGTCGGAATCCATATTTACTCACTCCACGAAATGAGCTGATTTTGAGAAGGTGTTACTAAAAAAACCAACACATTTGTTAAGTGATTAAACATAGCTTTTTCTTTTTTTTTCCTTTTCAATCCCCATTGTCAGCAATCTGGTTTCAAAATAGGGATTTATTTGTTTTTGCTTCTCCAATAAAAACATAGTTTTAAGACCCAGAAAACGGTTTAGAAACTTGACGTCCCTCCTCTCTCCCCCCCCCCCCCCCCCCCCCCCCCCGTGCCCCTTCCACAAGACCCTGGAAGGGCATCGCAGGACCAGGGCCTGCCTCTCTGCCAAAGGAAACGTGGAAAATAGCAGCACAACCTCCTTTGCAGTGTCCTCTTCTCCCTTCCAACCCTCCGTTAAAACTTGGATTTCTGGTGTACATGCAGCACAAACACTGAACACGCCAGCATATAATTTAAAAAGAAAAAAAGGTGCAAAATGAAAGTGCCTTATCAATTCAACAATAAAAGCTATACCAGTTAACTACAATTTTTTTTTATATTAATTAAAACAATATATAAACAATATCATCTCTTTTTGCTATATATTGACTTCATGCCCATTTACCCTGTAATAGATTATAATGCTATTGCTATGGACTCTTTTCATGCCATCCCGCCCGGTGGCAAACACGGTACGGTGAAAAGACATCGTCCTTCATGAAAGAATGAGCAAAAGTTGTGCAAAACTGATGAAGCGATGCCTCTGCAGTGCACACCAGTCGCCGGAGTCGAGCTGGAGGTTCGGTGTCGGACCTTGTTCAGCGAGCGTCTCTGTGGGCAGTGAGTTACAAAGACAGAGGAGAGCCCTCCTTCTGTGTAAACAGAGGCTGAAGACGGAGAAGTCCAGCTGGGGGGGGGAAGGGCCCCTCTGGGTGGGCATCGCAGCAACGGGACCAAGGAGACAAGGAAGTCCAACCCTCGCTGCGTTCTCCCCCTCCTTCGCCTGGCGCCGGAGCCCGGAAGAGCTGCAGTGTGCTGGCTCCTGGCGTCTTAAGCAGGGCCACCAAAGTGTCTCAGTTGAATCTCTTTCTTCTTTCTTTCTGCTTGAATGTTTGTCCCCCCCGAGAGCTTCCAGGAGGCTTGAGAAGGTCCCTTTACCCTTCCATCTGCACCGTTGGCTCAAATTCTGAAGTGAACAACTCCTTGTACAAGGGAGGAAAATGCAGTCGCACAATCTCTGGGTATATTGCTCTGAACGCCATGAGCTTTTCTGTATGTCGTCCACACAGGGCTCTTAAGGTAGACACTTTGCATATTAGCTGTGAGGGGAGAGGGGAAACAGATGGGGGGGGTCAGTGAGGGGTTTGGCCATTATTTTCACGGGGGGGGGAGGGTGTGGGGTTGAAGGGAGGACCCATAAAAACTTCTAAGCATCCTTAGAGAGGATGGGGTGAGGTCACTGTGGAAGGAGAACCTCAGGGGTTGAACCATCAAGGAGCTGTGTTGGTGCCACCAAGTCTTCCTCTCTTGGGTTTCCTATATTGCTGCTGTTCTGGAGGTAAAGACTCCTTCATTGTAAGCTGCCCAGAAATTGGTGTTAAGATGGGCTGCTTTGCCAATGCTTTAAATGAGTCAAATATCAAACAGTTGTAAGTGCTGTAAGATACGGCTTCTCTAACTGGTTCCTCATCTTTCATTTATTCTACTTGCTCCCTTTTTCCATTTTAGGGCCTGCGAGGCAACAGGGGTTTAAAAAGCTGAGGGACAATGTGTGTGTGTGTGTGTGTGTCCGTCCTTCCCCTATAATCAAGTATTATCTTTCAGAAGCATTATGGGTTATAGGTGAGTATGGGACCCATAATGCGCATCTAGCAATAGTGGCCTTGCCTTCTTCTGGTAGCAATGTCCCAAAAAAGGATATAAAGGAAGTTGGATTCCTTCCAAGAGGAAGAATTATACTTGATACAATTTTTAAGAATTACATTAAAATTGCTGCATAAATAATGCTCAATTTCTAAAGAGTTAAGTTGACACCCTGAGATCCAAAGCCAGGTCAGAAGAAAGGAAGACTTTATCTTATGTTCTCTAGAGCAATTCCTCATAATTTGTTCACCTTCATTATTCAGGCTTATTAGATAATTTCCTCCACCACATGTTAAACAAGCATCGCAGAATATTCCATAAAAGATGCTGCGAATTCTGTTGAAAGTTGGGCTGCTGGTCTAGCTAGTTAAATGAGGCTTTAAAGCGCAAAAGACTGCGGTAGATTCGTTACCTTTGTTAATATTCCATCTTCCCGATGGTTTTTCTGCAGTACATGTTGAAGCGCAAACTGAATTTTTTGCTGGAGCTTTTCGATTTTTACCTTTTCCTGAAGCCATGATCGATCTAAAAGTAAAAAGAGAGAGAGAGTGTGTGGGGGGCACATTCATGTGGTTCTTTGCCAGTATAATTTGCAGAAATTATATTTATTGGGTTGAAGTGTCCGGGGAGCTCCACTACCATAAACAGGGCAATCCAGCTCCCCTGATAGTAGTGCACAGATGACCTGCCATCTTCAATTCCTTGGCAGAAAGTAAGAGAGGTTGAAGAGCGACAGATGGTTCTCCACCCTCTTCTTGTTTCTTTCTACAAATGGCTCACATTTTCCATGAAGTTTGGAGGATCAGGCAAAATAACACAAGCAACTGCATTTATATACCGCTTCACAGTGCTTTACAGCCCTTTCTAAGCAGTTTACAGAATCAGCATTTTGCCCCAAACAATCCAGGTCCTCCTTTTACCCACCTCGGAAGGAGGGAAGGCTGAGTCCACCTTGAGCCTGGTGAGATTCGATCTGCCAAATTGCAGGCAGCCGGCAGTCAGCAGAGGTATCTTGCAGGACTGCATTCTAACCACTGTGCTACCACAGCTCTTTAAATATTAGCTGTTGGACTTTCAAGTGTGAGAAGAGAGTTGCTCGGTCTACAAGTTTCAGGAGACCGCAAAAGAGAACCTCTAGGCATGTCATTCCTCTCCTCAAACATCTACTTGACTTTCGGAAGCACCAAGCTAAGTGATGAAATCAGGTTTTCGATAACAAAACCTGCCGACTGTTGGAAGTGAACTAAATATATTGTTCTGAAGGAAATATTTTGGCTCAGGGGCAGGAAATACTCCAGTGGGATTTCATACTCTCAGAATATCACCCAAAAGTTAATTTGAAAAAGCAAAATTACTTCCTCGGATTGATACTTTACCTGCAGATAGTAAAACGAAAGCTGAGAATAATGCAATCTCGTCTTCAGTAAGGTGCATAGAACATAAACTCTTTCCAAATTCGAAAACGAAACTAATGAAATCTTCACAGCCTGCGAAATAAAACAGTCAAATAGGGTCTTTTCCAAAGAATGCAACATAGGACTATATACTGTATATATTTGCATATATATATATATATATAT